TATAAGATGTGAAACGAAATCGAAACATTGCATTCTTAATACCATTTCAAAGTCTTCACAATCTAGTTTTTTATGTCTTAACGGCGTGCTAAATGATTAATCGTAGCAAATGTTACGACTCGTCAAAGTTGGCGGTTTAAAATTAGTATTTCGAGAATTTCGATAGCATACTAATTTTAAAAATTCACCGATGATAGTACGGTAGTCGAATCTACAAATCGCTTATATCATCTCAAAACTCGTTCCTAGTATTACATTATAGGCATATCAAATAGTTTAAACACATATTAAAAATAGTTAAATATGCGTCAAACGTACGTCATAAAAAGAGGCTTCTAACTCGCATTTTAAAAAAAAAAAATTAATTATTTCATTAACATTTATTATTTTTGTGATACAAATTTTTCAATGTAATTTGCATTATTTTATTAGGAAATTTATATAGGACATGACATCAAAAAATTTCGAAATTTTACATTTGAAAAAGTCACATTCCATGTAAATTTTCGAATGCAAAATTACATGGGATATGAATTTTTTTAATGTAAATTTTTTATTGTAAAATTTTTCCTAACTTTTTTACAAGTTCGATTGTACCCACCTCATTTAATTGTCCGCGTCTGCCCCTGGTTAAATATACCTTCCTTAATGTCAGCATAGCGAAGGGGAGGCCAATGGGCAGTGGCCCCCACTGGAATTTGGCCAATTGCTTATAAATTAGTTAAACCTTATTTTTATCTGCACATTTTGCAGAATCTATAATTTTTACGTTCTTTTTAATTAAACATTTTTTAAGATATACCGCTTATAAACACTTAAAAATTTGAATAGACAAGAAATCAAGTCTCAAATTATCCCATATATGGAGGATTCTCGAGATTAACTAGTAGAAGAAATCCAATTATTTTAGTTTTGTGCTTTCACATGCAGTTTAATAATGAAAAAACAGGGAAAAGGATCCAAAAAAAATTAGAATGGTATTATAATTTCATAATCCCCTGGGCACAATTTGCTTAATTTTGATCGTAATTTATAAATAATACTTCAACTTAAAATTTTTATCAGTTGTAGAAGTTTTCTTTCACTTGTAATGTACCCTGATGTACGTCAATTTATTATGATTTTACAACGTTTAAATATCTACTAATGGCAAAAAATGATTGGATATTAGTGTTGACTATTTTTAAAAACAGACCAACGATGTAATGCTATGTGACATTTTATGTCAAAGCGTTAAAATCCTTTGACAATGTAGCAAGATTGGAAAAGAGCACTCATGGCACATGGACCCGCAACAAATGACTAATCAATTGACACTCATTTTTTGGACATCATGCCCGACCGTAATCTATGTGACGAGCCAACTGCACTATAGTTGTGGAGTGCTACAAGTGAACTCATATTACAATCCAACTAGATCATAGAGTGACAGAGTAGTGCAAAGCGATTGTAACATAACAATAAAAATAATGTTATGACATTTGATAGTGATTACGTGAATATCACATGGGATCTTGCTATATTTTCATTAGGAATTATATAATGAGTTACGCAATATCACATGATACTATATTATTTGTCAATTTAAAATGCAGTCAACTTTTTCATTCAATCTTTTTTCTTCTACGTCATATTATGTAAATCTTTTTGTACAATTTTGATGTACAAGTCGTAAAATTCATATGATGTCTCATCTACCTTCATTCTCAAATATCACTCTCCTCGTAGCTGGCCATGAGATTTTGGGTTATCAGTGCAAAACATAAAAGAATGTCCCTCTTTAATGTTTATCATTTTAATCTAACCTCAATTCTTCCATATGAATTGGTTACAAATATCAGATTCTGCAATTGAGAAAATCAGATCGATTGGACCACTGGCAATCCTAAATTACCACTAATAGAACTTAGCCAAATATTTAATCCCCCGATATCTTTCCTAACAGATACTTGGACATGTTTTTAATTACATAAAAATAATTACTTAGTTTAATAGTAAAGTTGAAAAATATTTTAATTATGATAAGTAAATAATTTTGCTAGCCAAGTGATGATTAACCTTTGTTTGGCTGTGTTTATAAATAGTTTATAATTGGTCAAATTACATTTTTATCTATATAAATTGTAAGATTTATAAGTATTACTTATTCATAATTCAATTCTATTTATTTATAATATGAATAGTTTATAATCATTTATGAAACTTGAAGGAAATTTTAAAAACAAAACGTATATGGAAAAAAAAAAAAAGAAGATTCTTGGCCGTTGGATTTAACTAAAGAGTTGGGTTGTTACTTTTCATGGGGC